CTTGCATGGCAGTGTCAGTATCAAGCGACTGTCAGTGTACTTTTTGACACGAAAAGTAATGTTCGTGGACACAAAAAAGAGTTGTTTGTGCTCACAAGCAGCTCCCATATGCCAGCGCACCAATTGTCTGTGATCGACATATGTGTACAAGTTATGTGCATTTGTATACAAGAAACATTTATGTTAAACTTTAGCAATATAATAATTAGTATGGAGCATATATACTACATGTGTGGAGTACATGTGCATCTTCTCCTCAGTTGGTTTATTTGTTTGTTCTTTCGTTCATTCGGTTGCTTGTTTGTTTGTTTGCTTGCTTGCTTATTGGTTTACCTACCTACCTACCTGGAGGGCGGGAGGGAAAAGAAAGAAACATTTGTAATGTTGCTAAGTGAGAAAAACGGTACCGTATTTGGGATCGGTATACCATGCGCATGGTATACCGGTCCCACGGTATAATGTACGAAAACTAATGGTTGCTTTAAACTAAAGTTTAAGATAATGATATAAGGACATCCTCATTCATTCATGTGTTTATTTGGGGATCATCTTGATGTGTGAAAGATCTTTTTGGAGATTATGGTTGAAAAGATAAAATTATTTTGAAAGGTTATTTAAAAAATTATTGATGTGTGAAAGATCTCTTATTAAATACCAAATCCTTGATTATTCAAAATTATTCCAATATTCAATAATCAAATTTAATGTTGTCATGGCGTTGAATATGGAATGACTGAAATGCTCCATTAGAATTAACAAGAAACTCCATAAAAGTTTGAGTAAACAGGTATCATTGTTGAGGGGAGTTGAAAATTTTTGACATTATTTAAAAAAAATTATGTGACGATGACATGGCAATGCTAAATTATTAGAAAACGCATGTTTGATGAACATGGATGGAGATACTCTAAGAATGATCATTAGTTTTCTTGATCCACGTAATGTTGAAAATTGTTTATTGTCCAACCCTTCATAACTAGATGTGGACCCGAGTCGGTCCAACCTCAGTTCTGAAATTTGGACGGCAGTTAACTTGCGGCGGCGATTAACTTGCGGCGGGTCAATGTCAATGGCGGTAACGGGTCACTGATATAGGTCGTGCGTCACTGGCAAAGGCGATGGCGGCAGATAACTGTCACTACTGGATATGTCACTGTTAGTGGCTTGAAGTCACTGAGGGCCCGATACAGTGACCTACTTGATTATCCAAGTCACATTTTTGGAACTTTGTAAACTTGGTCCCATTTTTGTTCAAGACTTTTAGAGCCTGCTTGGTGAGCTTGTTTTTCGACTTATCAAGCATTCAAACTTATCAACTAAGTTTTTCAGCAAAAACATAACTTTTTATTTCGCGCGCAGAATTGTGTGTTATAATAAGAAAAAGTAAGGTTGAAACTAGGGGTGGGCATGGGTCGGGACGGTTCGGGATTAGGGTTATCCCGGTCCCGTCCCAATTAATAAGAACGGGACGGGACGGTACGAGACAAACCTTTGTCCTAGTATTGTCCCATTTAAATCGGGACCGGGATGATTCGGAACGGTTCAGGACGGTTTGAGACGTCCCAAACTGACAAAAATAATCATTTGTAATTAATACTCCCTCCGTCCCTGAATTTAGTTCCAACTTTCCCTTTTCGTCTGTCCCAAAAAGAACTTCATTTTCCCTTTTTGGCAAAGAATTTGTGGTTCACGGCATTTCTCTCTCCTCTGCACAACCCTCCACCACACAATTCTCACTTTCTTAATTACTGTGTCACTTTAATTTGGAACAACAATCAAGGACAGAGGGAGTATATATTAGCATTTCTAAAGTATCATGCACCAAAATATTAACATTTTAAAAGTTAATTGATGTTCATCACAAGCTAAAAGCTACTACGTATTAGATTTTAGTTAGGTTTAGCAAAATTTGATATTTAAATTTAAAACAAAGCAAAAATGAATTACTTTATTCAAAATCATGCGTTCTAGTTCTGAGATACTCATATGTAGATATATAATAAAGTGAGGTAAAAACCTATGTTAGTAAATATTTATGTTAGGTATTATTTTTAATTTAAAATTTGGGTTTGAAAAACTAAAAACATGTTATCATTTATTTTTTGAGTTGACATTACAAACTACTCACATACTACAAAATCTATATAATTATTACAAACGGGACAACGGGACGGTTCGTGATAACCTTCCAATGTCGCGGTCCCGTCCCATTTTAAACCGGTACGGGACCGGTGCGGGACAAAATCAATGAGACCCAAACGGAACGGGACAACACCGGTACGATTTCGGGATATACCGGAATGGGACAATGGGATCGGGATTCTTGCCCTCCCCTAGTTGAAACTATTTTTCCGGTTGTATTGGTTGAAATTACTCTATAAGACCATTTTATCTATTTCCGTATTCCCTCCGTCCTTCAAAACTTTGTCAACTTTGACCGCCATGAGAATTAATAAAGTAAAAAGTGTGTGGTTGAGATTTGAGCAGAGGAGAAAGAATTATCTGGAACTAGGCATGGGCCGGGCCGGGCTCCGGGCCGGGCCTGGGCGGGCTTTTGGGTTTGGCTTCGGGCTCGGAACCAGCTCGGGTTTCCACCAAGTCCGGGCCGGGCCAGTCCCTGGGCTTCTTCATTTTTTTTTTTTGCTTTTCTAATTAACCCCCGACCCCCCCCCCCCCCCCCCCCAAACACCCAACCCAACCCGGGAAAAACAAAAAACAATTGAAAAAAAATAGGCCCGAACCGGGCCCAATCGGGCCGGTTTTGGGTGACCTGAGCCCGCCCTGTGTAATCCCCGGGCCAGGCCACCAGGCCGGGCCGGTTCCAAACAGTGTCAAGACGGGCCGGACCACGATCCGGTCGGCCCGGAACCGGTCCATCACTATCTAGAACCACAACTTTTTTACTTAAAAGGGAAAATGGCAATGTTAGTGGGACAAACAAAAAAAGAAAATTGGCAAAGTTTTAAGGGATGAAGTATAATTTTTTTCTTTATTTTATTAAAAAAATATAAATTTTACATAAATCAACAGAATCAGCCGATCTAGGTCGATTTCAGATATGTGAATCCGCCAATGCTCTGGCAAGCACCGCGATAGGGGGCTAGGAGCGACCTTCCTCCATGTCCTTCAGCTCAATCGTCATTTGTCTCTCAGGGCGGGATGTTGCACTCACAAGCTACAACCGTAGTGTGGATTTCAAATCAATCGAGGATTAAACTCACCGGCGACATTGCCATCTCAAGATTCTCAACGAGAATTCTTGCTGACCAACAACAGATGAGGTCAATTTCAGATCTGCGAGGGAGGTGACCAACTGGTGAGGCGAAATTGTGGTGGTAGTCACGAACATTTAATGGCGAAGGGGTTACTGCAGCACGGCCAAAAGGAAATCACTAGAAGAAGGCAAAGTTACTTCGAGAAGGGAAAGACTATTTCGGCTGTTATGAGCGCACTAGGTCTCAAGCATCCTTCGGAGAACACCCGACGACGCTGCTTTAAATACCCAAACTGCAATCCAAGCATAAATATGTTTTGGGCCATGCGCGGAGCATGACTGGATCATTCAGTGTGGGTGCAGTTGATCTCGCACGACAGTAATTGGGTTGACTGGATCATTCAGTGTGGACAGAAACTTTGTAGTAGTATGTTGACACCTACTATCTTTACTAGAAAATTCCTATTGGAGTAAAGTGAGAGTTTATGGATTTCTATCGATGAAAGTAGTCATGGACCCGGTTCGGGCCGCCCGGCCCGGGACCGGCCCGCTACTGTGCGGGCCCGGAACCGGCCCAGTTCTCGGGTCCGGGTCGGGCCTAGGCCCAATGGGGGGCGGGTCCGGACTCGGGCCTTGTATTTGGCGAACCGGTCCGGCCGGTCCCGGGCCTTCCTTCCCAAAAAAAAGCCCGGCCGGGCCCGGCCCGGGTCCATGACTAGACGAAAGAAGCAATCCAAAACATGACGCTACTGGACCGTTTGAAAGCTGCAACAAAAAACTCAAGTACGAAAGAAGTTCACGGATTGAACGAGTGTTTATTGCACCCAGAGTTTGGTAGAGTTCACTACAGCGGAAAAGACTTGGTCAACAAGTGATTTTTATAACTTACACAAGGTAACCAGTCACTACGTGCTCCCGGAGTAAGTGAGCACGTTGAGAGAAGGTTAGAGCTACACTAAATTGTTCTGTTATGAAGTTGACCTCTAGGTCGACCACTCGACCAGTCCGACCGGGTCAAGTCTACAATCCTATAGCTTTCCTTGTCAAGTCTTCCTTCGTCACCCCAACAAGGCAACAATCCAAGGGCGGTCTTCCCTTGTTGGCTCCACAATCTTGAGTCTTCTCTTGTCGATCTGTCAAACATTAGTTGGTCCCTCTCCTGGGATCAGTCAGATCTATTATGATCCCATAACCCCATCTCCACCCACACTATTTCAGATTTCTTAAATACTTGTGTTAATCTCTTGTCACAAATTAATTGGTAAGCATGGTACAATATATACATTTCCAAGAAAATAGTAATAATAAAACTTTCCAACGTCAGATGTTTAAAATTTACTTGAAAGCTAGAGGGAAATAATGGGAGGGGCATAGTCTGATGGATTCACTTTTGGAATAAAATGTATAACAAAAGATACAACATTGTTGTTTTCTTATTCTTAACCTGTTCAGCTAGAGGGAAATAATGGGAGGGGCATAGTCTGATGGATTCACTTTTGGAATAAAATGTATAACAAAAGATACAACATTGTTGTTTTCTTATTCTTAACCAGTTCAGCATTTCAGCTAATTTCAGAAGATAAAAGGCCACCAAACGCAACAAAAACATTACCCTGTGCAAGAAAGGCTCCACCTACGGTGGGGTAAGGATGGATCTGATGTACGAAGCCTTACCTTTGTACTAAAGCATAAAGAGACTATTTCTGAATGATCAAAAAATGAAAATCGGATAAAAAATTGCATGGAGTGATTGTTTCATGACAAAGAAACGCAAACAATTTAGTGAGTCATTTTGCTTTATTCCATCATATTTTCAGGCCAAAAAATAGTGAGTCTTGCCTCTGGCTCCATTGGAAATGATGGAAAAAAGGGCTACCAAACGCAGCGAAGTGAAATTATTAAAGGACTTGTAATGAAATCCCATAAAAGATTCAAATCATTTAACGCAAAGTATTCGGTTTACTTTGTTCCCAAAATCCAAAATCCAAACAGGTTGAAGGGTAGTAGGATATGTGATGTTCCTAAAAACCAATCAAACTCCAATTCAAAAGTATTTTTCATATCCCTCTGTCTCAAACCACTTGGTAATTCTCAGTAACCAGCACAGTTCTTTGTGAAAATTTTGGGGCGGACCCACCTTGAAGTGGCAATATGTTGGTCACCTGCAATAGTGTAAACAATTTCACGTATTTCACATCATGCCAATAAAAGTGCAAAACCAATTTCTTAAATCCAATTCTCTTAGGATTTTTTGTTTTTGAACCAACCAAATTTAATTGTAAGACTAAATCCATTTTTAATCATAATTCTGCTTTGGATATAGACACACAAACTCTTTTAACATTGGGGGGATACCCTTGCCCATCCCAGTGTCTACCCTGCCTGGAATACATCTAACCCGATCATGCACATGGTTCCAGGTACCATATATAACAATAAGAAGACAAGAAAAATGACAAAATGGCGGGTGAGGGGGCAAACCTTCAAGTGGCTATAAGTCGATGAAGAAGTAAAGCGGGCCGATATTGGGAAGAAGGTTGATGGATCCATTGGAGGCACGGTAAATTCTAGGGACCCACTGCACACATTGACAGCACAGACATTAGAAACTAAACAAACAAAGCTGACACCCCTACCACCACGAAAAACTTTATACAGTAGCTTACCTGCTGTTCGAGTTATCAATGAGAACTATCGACCATTCAAGAACAGAGTTCCTGGAGTTGTATCTGCAATGAAAAATTATTTGTTTTATTTTTCCAGAATGATAAACCATTTATTGAGATTCTGTTTTATTTTTCCAGAATGATATCACTTTGATTACAGACAGGGACATGTTCATTAGAGAACAGCTTACCAACATGCCAAGGTGTTTAATTTAAAGGGTAGCTTAACAGCATGTGTTTACCAACATGCTAAAAAATATGGTTGCTTTGGCAATTGACATATTTTCAGAAGAAGTAGAAAGTGGTTAATTATAAAAAACTAGAAATCCTGGCCATTAATCACTAAACAAGCAGTATATCATCACCACCACCCCAACCTTAATCCCAACTAATTGGTATTGGTAACATGAAAGCCATGAAATAGTTGGGATTCAAGTGTTGGTGATGATGAAAACATTTTATGTTGATGACCAGGGCACTGATTTTACAATACTTTACCATTTTATAACTAAAAATAACAATATTAAGTTGAAAAATTAAATATTAACCTCAACCCATGCAAACATATCCATACCCCCTCACATCACATCTAGGAGACAACAATTTTTAACAGACCATAGAGTAGTATTTACCGAGACATCATGGATCAAGCATCAATAATAGGGTATAATCCCTCTGCTGTTGTAGAGAAACAGCATGTGGAGACTTCAAGGTAGGACATAATCTCCCTTCCAGATTATACCAATTATAAAAATGAACTATTTGTTCTGAGCTACTTCTGACTGAATAAAAAAAAAATCCCCAGATAAACTCGGTGGGGGTATTTCTATTTGCTCACGGACCTTTCATGTGTACTTAATTCTGTAAACTAGCATTACAAAGGCTCACCTCCAATCTCCATTAATCTGCTTTACATTTGGGGCATCTCTGAGAGCTGGAAGGGGCACAGAAATTATAACATTCTGAAGATCAATGTTTGCTGGAGTTTCGTATTCAATAGTCATATAGGTTTCCTTTGGGGAAACTGATGGCCAACAGGTAACTGTAATGGGTGAATGGGAGCAATCCAATTATAAAGGAACCAGTAGATTCATTCAGTAACAGAACAAAATAAAGACGAGAATAATTTAGAAATAGACTGATATTTAACATTATTTGGGACTAAACTGTTATCATAATATGAAGTTATTTGTTCGCTCAAGCAAGCAACTATAGTAAATGACTTATTGGAGGTCAAAGACAAGCAAATGAAGCGTACTTGTTAATGGAAAAAAAGACTCATTCGTTGACTCCAGTCTCCATTTCAACAGAGCAACACCACCACCTGATTGCGCAGTGGGAAAAGCCCTATTTGGATCTTTGAGGCCTAGAATATTTTCTCTCAAATATAACTCCTTGTTGACATTAGGGTGTGTCTTGTAATTTATATCACCATTACCACCTTTCTCAATCTGAAAATTGTGCATAATAGTGAGAACAACAACACAATATGTTACCATTTGCAAGAATTAAAAGTTAAAACTATCATGCATCTACAAAGACCACACTGACAAATCTTAAATGGATATGCAATACTGAAATCACTGTTGACTTGTCTTATATATACAGCATGCAGTTAGATCTAGACCAATATGTATAACAGCAAAGTTTTATTAAATTAGATGTTACTCAACAGGAGAAAGACTCAAAAACTACAATGATATTTTACATGACATACTTGTGCAACCAAGAGGAAAATATAAAGCTATTTACAACATATATTTTTGTAAAAACTTTATCTAATATTCCCTCCTTACAAGTTACAAGTATGCTTGCCCATTTGGTTCTTACTTCACTAACTCAATGTCAAGCACACAGCCTTACTTTACCTTGATTGTGTGACACGTTACTCTACTACAAACTTAATGTGATAGAGGAATTTAGGAAGTACATGAAAATTACGAACAAACCCAAATTCTCAAAAATACAAGTGAAGAAAGAAAAGCTGGTTTAAATAATAAGTTGGGACTAAAACAAGTAAACAGTACACAGAGCACTAAATTGTCTGATAAAAAATATCTCTTCCATTTAAATGAAACTAGAATTATTGTATTACCTCCGTCCCAATGGACTTTGCACTAATTGAGTTAGGTGAGAAACAAGCATAGTAAAAATTGTGTGGTTGAAGATTGTGCAGAGGAGAAAGAAATGAGCAGAACCACAAAATAGTTACTTTAATGGGAAAGTGGCAAAGTTTTTTGGGACAACCAAAAAAGGGAACTTGGCAAAGTCCAATGGGACGGAGGGAGTATATGCCAACAATGGTCATAATAACTAACTGAATGCTCCCTCTCCCCGTAAATAATCCCCACTTTCCTTTGTGGTCCATGAGTAGTTCCTAAATCATCCACACTTTCTTTTAGAAAAGCATTACGGGATTCATATGTATTCTCTCCTTTGATTAAAATACAAAACATAAAAAATCACATCTATTCTTTAAATGGAAACAAAATCTTTTACTGAATTTTTGCAATAGACATTTCTTCTCTATTTTCCGATCCCTTTTAAACTTTTTTTATGGGGTTATCTTTCAAAAGATTTTACTATAAACGAAAAACTAATGAGATTAAAAGAAGAAAAATGTAATCCACTCACAACATAATTCATAAAATTATTGCCTCTGTTTTGTCCCTATTTTATTGGGTTCAATGCCGTCTCCCTTTTCGCCCACTCTTAGGACTGGCTTTATGCCTAGGCCCTCAGAACTTCTAAGGACGCCCTGTTGACAATATCCTTACTTAACCTACCCCACCTCACCTCTCTCTCTTCTTTAATTACCCAGTTGACATTTATACTCACCCATTACATATCTATCTTCTTCTTTACTTTCCTTCCACCTACAGAAGCTCTCTCGATGATCTATCTTCTTCAATTTATTACCACAGTCTCTTTTCTCTTTTTACCCTCACCATCTTCTTTCTTTTACATCATTTCTCTACCTTTTTATTTCTGTCTAGAAAAAAACAGAGATCAGCAGATCAGAGAGATCTGAACAGAGAAGAGAGATCTTTTGGATAGGCTAGTTCTCCCTCGAGATATGATCGTCCCAGACATGATTCTGATAGAGAACTGGACTTATGGGCTTATGGAGTGAGAAGAAATAATACTGAGTATTTTAATAAAATGTAATAGTGGGCTGGCCCATTAGAAATAGAATAAATGAGAGTGGTGAGGAGATGGGGAGGGGAACTTTGGATCTGGACTGGGACTTGGGAGTGTTGAGACTACTCGAAGTGTCTCTATCGTTTCTTTTCTTCTTTCGGTTCTCTTTGCACGACAATTTCCATCATCGGCCATTGTAATAGCTTATGTACTCCGTTTTCCAGAATTAATATACAGTAATTTGTCTGGTTCCTATCAGATTCTATATACTTCCTCACATGTTATCTCAGCAATAAAAACACTGGACGTTCAACAACAATCACAAGGACACCAGACGTTCATAATTAATAAAGGAGTCTACAACAACATTGAAGTCTTAATCCCAAAAGAATTTTTTTGAGTGCTAACATTAATCGACATCTGAAATCGGAGTTAAGAAAGACTAGTGTAGTACACGTGCACGGTAAGAACTATTTTCCATGTCAAAGATTCTAGACACATCACATATATCATAGTTCTATAAAATAAAATGAAAATACTAGTAACTTTTTCACAAATTTAAATCTTATTTACAATGACAAGTAGGTTGTAATTTGGAATTTTAGATTATAAGATGGGATTGGTGTAACATGTTTTTCAATGAGAATTTAAAAAAAAAAATCTCAATCTTTCATTTTATTTTTGTAGGACAAGTTGAGAACAACTGTGACATGCATGTTAAAAGATTATCCTTTGACCAAAATATGATTAAAATCTTTTCTTCCAATGAATTTACTGAATATACCTATCTTGGCTATCTCTGATTTTTAGATTTTATTAATAAAAATATATTTTAAATATTTTTTCATAATTCACCAGATTCAGTCAATTCAACTGGTGCATTTAGAATTTTCACTAATTTAAACCGATTCAGCCAATTCTGTCAATTTCGATATTACTATACATACTCTCTATTTCATGTACAGGCTCCCCCCTATAATAAGATCTATGAGATATCTCTTCTAATTCACTTTTACGAAAATGCCAAATTTGTGAAGTGTTCTTATAAATACTTCCTCCGTCCCAAATTGATGGTCCTATACTTTTTGGGTTCAAATATTAAGAAAGTGGGCTAGAATGACTCATATAACCTTACTTTATTGCACTGTTCATTCTTTTTACTTTTACTGTTCATATAAAGTAGGGGTATAAATGGAAATTTACTTTAATTTCCTTACCATAAAGGGAAATATGACCATCACTTTGGGACGGAGGGAGTAACATTTTTTTTTTCATTTTCTGCTTTAACGAACTACCAAATAAGCTAGGTAATATTACACATTAAGAGACCGTTTGGTAAGCATGATTTTTGGCTTTTCAGGCTTATCAGTCAACTTTTTCACCAAACACGTAACTTTTGATTTCGCGCGCTAAATTGTGTAATAATAAGAAAAAATAAGGCGAAATTGACATAAATAATCCCTACTTTTATGCATTTTACAAAAATAATCCCTACCGGAAAAGTTTACAACAATAATCCGAACTACTTAACTCTTTCACAGAAATAAACCGGAGTTAACGGTGTTAACTTTTCCGTTAGTTTTTTTATTGCATTTTAAATATAATGAAGCAAAAATATGTACAAACTCCAACATTATTATATACTTCGTATATTTGTCCTTATATTTACTTTTATTATGAATTAAATTTAATAGTCATTATTTTTCATAAAATGAAATAGAAATATTTAAGAACGCACTCATCAAATTCTCATTTTTCTTTTAGTTCTAATCAGTATTTTATTTATATTCATTTTTATTTCATTGTATAAGAGATTTAAAATTAGTTTTAGTAATTCTATACGAAGTACTACGTATTAAACATTACCACATACTAAAATGAATACAAGTCTTTATAGTAGAAATAGTTATTTTACAAAAAATAGTTATTATTAAATTAAATTTATAGTAGAAATAAGACTAAACAAAAACATAATATTATTAATATTTTTATATATATTTGCTTCATTTTATTTTAAATTTAAAAAAAAAAAATTAACGGAAAAGTTAACACCGTTAACTTCCGGTTTATTTTTGTGAAATAATTATCCAGTTGGGATTATTGTTGTGAACTTTTTGAGTAGGGATTATTTTTGTAAAATGTCTAAAAGTAGGGATTATTGGTGTCAATTTCACCAAAAAATAATGTTGGAGTTACTTTTCTGACTGTATTGGCTGAAATTACTGTAGAGAACCATTTTAGCTATTTTCATATAATTTTTTTCTTTATTTCATTAATAAAATATATTTTGAATATTTTTTTCCATAAATCAGCTGAATCAGCCAATACAACCACTTCAGCCAGAACTTCATAAATTTCAACAGAATTAGCCAATATAACTGATTTGGGTATTACCAAACAAGCCCTAACTCCTTACAATCTGTTTAGCTAATTCTCCAACTAGTCTGTACTAAGTAGTCAGTTTGGGTAATATCGACTACTTATGAAGTCTATGTGATGAAATTTTATAAGATTTTTTTGTCAAAGCAATTTGAAGAGAACTTCACAAGAAGTAACTTATTGATCTATTTTTATGCATGTATTTTTAAAGCAAGCTGATTTGTATCTAATTAACTTGGTGATAATTTAATTTTGGGAAAACTGTCAAATAGACCCTCGTACTATAACAGAAATGTCAATTGAGCCCTCGTACTATCAAATTACCCAATCAACCCCTCAAAGTATTAAAACAAAAAATCTCGCATTTTTACTGATTAGATACCGGTTGTGCTGGTAGCCGCTGACGTGGATTGCCAAGTGGCATTAATTTTTTTATTTTTAGCCAATTGAGCCTTATCTGACTTCGTTCATTCGTTTTACCAATCCTTATCACTGTTCATCTTCTCAAATGGGGAGGGGGGGCAATCGTGAGGGTTGGGTTCATCTTGTTTGGTAAAAGAAAAAAAGGTAACTGTCTTTTCTTTCTTATTTATCAACTTATCAACTGAACAGATATCAGCCTTTATTCTCTTCTTTGTCATACCTGGGAAGAGACACCAAAATTCAAATTGGCAAGTATGAACAAATACATGTGCTCATAATAGGAAAAAACCAAGAAACGAAAACCCGAAGAAATCACAAGAAAAAGTAATAGAATAGACTGAAATTCCTGAATCCGAATTAGTGGAGTTAGGTTTAAATTCGGCTACTTCTCATGGTTTGCTGGAAAATTCTGCTGCTACTCACCTCTTCATCTTCTTTGAAATGCAGCAACAACCAACGATTCCGTCTCCCGTTCGCAGCTCTCTAGTCACCAAAGATAGAAATGTAGCTCTCTGGTCGCTTCCTGTACGCCAGCGACTTTGTCTGCTGTCTGAACTAATTTTCCTCCATTTCATCTTCCCGGTCTTCTTTTTCTTTCTGACTGGCGGTTTGACCGGCACGGTCTTTCTCTCAAGAATCTCTGCTTTCTTCCTCTCTTCTCTCCTTCATTCTCTCCCTTTTGTTGGCTTCACTTTTCAATTTTTAGTTTTCTTTTTTGTTGGTTCCATGTTTCCGTTTTCTGAGACTTTCTAAGAGGCAGATGGAATAGTAGGAAGAAGAGCAATGGAAGACAATTGTGGAGGAAGGAAAGAATACAAAAGAGATGGACTTTATTAAAAATTAGAATGAAAACAAATGCGAAATGGCAGACATGTAATAGGATTACTGAAAACCGGCAGGTGATTGCCTATATGTTATATTTGGTTATCTTTTGCAACTTTGAGGGATTAATTGGGAGTTTTTAGAGTACAAGGGCTTAATTTCCATTTTGGATAAAGTACGAGACTACGAGGATCAATTCGAAATTTTTCCCTTTAATTTTCTATACATGTTTATGTACTTAGTAATTAGCTAATTTATTATTGGTTCTGCTTTTTATACCTAGATTTCATTTGTTTCTCGTTATTTGCTTCTAATTGTTGTTTTTTTGGATTCTTGTTTTTAATTTCTGTGGTAATTTCTAATGAACATAACTCATTGAAGGCGTTGATTATGTTAATTTTGTATAAATTCCATGGACACTTGGATGCACTGTATGGTACTATGGTGTACTTTTGGGGCAATGTAGCACTCTTGGATGTTTAAGTATTTACTCGTAACCAAGGATATAATAGGGAAAACCCAAGCTGGAGGAGGGTTTCTTGATTTCTGCGCCCAACTCAATGTTGCAGCTATTTCCTAATAGTGGTGTCATTTATTTTATTTTTTGTTTTGTATTATGAAAAAAGAAAATAGAGTTTTGTCATTATAATAGGAATAAAAGCTCCTGTTTTGGGAGTTTTAAACTTGTACTCTTTCAATTCATGTCATGAAACTTGTGCTCTTTCTTTCTATAAAATCACTCTGTCCAGTGAAATTGTATATTTATTTGAGGACAGATGGAGTCCATTTTTAGGTTTACATTAGAGAGAGAGAAAGAGGAGGGAATGTTCCTCTCCTATTACTGCAGGACAACAAAGTGAAATACCACAGAAACACCACATGTTACCCAACTTAAGTTTTAATTGGACTTGACCAAATATATCAAGTATTACAGATAAATACACACATGATATGCGGAGATTGTAAGCTAAATGTGAGATAAAAGATAACCTGGACTTGGATAAATCCATCTTCTTGGTTGAGAATTTGAAGATATAAGGTGCCTTGCATGTCAAAATGGCTACCTCCTCCATCACGTTTTAATGTTACATTAAGCTTTTCTTCCACACTAAAGGTGACAGGATCAGTCAGTGGAAGGCCAGCTGTCTTAGACTGACCAGTACTAGGTTTAACATCCTCAACAATAACTTCACCCTCAGCTTTAAGAGATTCCAAAAATTGGTTGGTCTTTTGTGATTTTCCTAGCTGCATACCAAGGACTTTAGAAGGAGCTGTAGTAGGTGCAGTGCGGCCTAATTGTACAGTTCGGAATCCATTATCAGCTCTAACTCCCACAATTGCATCAAAACAAATTTGACATGCTAATATATTCATGACTATATTAAAATTCTATATAGTAGTAAATTAGTAATAATCATAATCTTAAAACATGTCAACCCTTTGATTTGGTGGGGAAAAGATCCATATCAGCATTCAATCCAAAATCACGCCCAGTATTAGTTATGCTTGAATCACTGCTGAAGCCACTATCAATTCTTCCTGAGCTCATTGACTGAATAGACATAAAACCTTTATCACCCCTGTTCTTTTCAATCTACAAAGCAACCAGACAATAACATATATCCAAAATCAGATAAAATGACAGTCCCACTGTATCAGCAACTAATAACTTTCCAAAAAGTCTCCTCGTCTCTTCCATGTGCTACGTCGGGGGGGGGGGGGGGCACATGCACTCTAATTCTTACCTTGCTTTTGTCAATCTCACTAGCTTTGCGCTTCATGACGTCCTTCGTTTCATTAATCTTGCTCTGCAAAACCAGCTTGTGCAATCTCTCTTCATGGCTCTCCATTTCACAGTACTGTTTAACTTGTGCAACCGTAACATTCTCCTTATGACCCAACGATATGAGTTCATCGAAGGCAAAAATGAGCTCAAATGCTGTTTTACAAATTCCCTCCTCATCTAGGGGATAACAATATTCAGGTACCTAATACAAGTGAAGGAATTTGGAATTGAATGCAAAAATTTTAAGGATCCTACAACAAAGCATTGTACTAGAGAAGGATATTAGCAGGCTGGAACTAACAGCTCACATGTAATATACGCGTAAGGATGTCATTAATTATTATTATTTATTACTACTACTGTTATAAAAAAAATTACAGCATCAGAAAATATAACAATATGCAGCTGATTAAAATATTAAGAAGAGTGATAAATGAGATGATACAAATAAAAATGAAAAGGATACAAGTTTTGAGAGCAGTCTGAGTGTCTCCAAATCATCAAGAATGTTGCTCTGTTTATTAGTCACAAGCAGCAAATACAAAGACTCTATTGGCTGATAAACATAGCGCACGTTTTCAGTCTCAACATAAGTGTGCTGTTTTCCAGATCCAACTAATTTGGGAAATGCAGCAAGATACCCCTCAATTCTTATTTGAGACATGTCCACAAACTGCCTTGAAACCAGCACTGCAAGAAATGTATTAATATGGTCAACTGTACTGACGAAAACAACATATATATATCTATAACTTCTCCTATAACAGAACCATGTTGGTCCCACATGGCTATGCCCCCCACCGAAATATACTCTGTAAATAGGGGAGATGGTCTTTCCCATTTTGTTGGAGTTGTTCACCAATAAATTTCCTCACTATTAAATTCTTTCTCACCTATTGTGAATGGGTTATATTACATTGATAGGGACCTGGGCTGTAGAGAATAAAAATAGTAGTAATAGATTGATACTTCCTCCGTTCTTAAATAAGTGCAACACTTTCCATTCTGGGCAGTTTCATTATAAATGCAACACTTCTATATTTGGTAAGAAAAAATAATCACAATGACTATACTACCCCAACACTTCTTTTGTACGCTTAATAAGTCAACCCATCACCTCAAATTAAATCTCCACCCACCCACGATATATCCACCATCCATTTTTCCACTGCGCCTAATAAGCCTTTAAATCTATGAACTAAACCAGGTGCTCTATTAGACAGAGATGAGCGAACAAGAAGCCATGAGGAAGAAGCCATGTATGAAAGAGAGCTAAATAGGAAATGGAGCACTGCTTGTTTTATTTATTCCCTTTGAAAACCCTCCAACTCTCGTTTCTTGTCCACATACGGACCCCTTTTTCTTCTTCCATGCATCTGGGCATTCATCTTCTTTTCCATCTCTGTTATTTTCTTCTCACAATTTTATAGGTCAATTCAAGAATTTGGATGTTGATGAGCTGAATCGGCACACAAATTAAGAATCTCCAGCTTCGAAGGAGTTTTAACATTTGTTGAACCAATATAGTGGCCAATAATACGATTCAGGATATTAAAACTAAATATCTGTAGTTCAAATGATGTTAAACAAATTCAGGAGAGCTGAATCGAAACTAAAATATTGAAATTAAGCAACGATTATTTGGTCTTTCCGGAGTAGGAGCTAAACCAGCAGAGAGAAGAAAAGTTGGGAAGTGAAAGAGATAACTATGTCAGATATGCCTGCTAAAAGCAAGGGCGAATTCGGAAAAAAAGACGTCCGTATAGGTTTCTTAAATCCTGTGCCCACATGCTAGGTTGCATTTATAACCGAACGGAGGATAGTATTAAATAATTGTGGTAGTCTAAAAAGAAGGGTTACGGGCCATGGAAGTCACGGGTTTGGGCCAGCCCTTTGGAATTGAATTGGTATAAGAGTGGGAGGAAGGAAAAAAAGGAGGTAGGCAGAAATTAGTCTGGACCTGGGAGTGCTAAGACCACTCGAAGTGTCTCGATCTGTTCCTTCTCTTTCTGTTGGTTTACTGTTTCTCCATTGCAGTTTCTAAGGAAATTACTGAGCTATTCTCTGAATTCCATACTTAATACACATAAATTCTCCTATTCCGTATCTGGATTTTGGGGTATCTAACATTGGTATCAGAGCAAACGACCCTGGAAAATCAGCGAATGACCTGGACTAGAGCTCGGATGGAACACTGAGTGGAATCCATGGAACACAATGTTCAGGATCTACGATCGACAGTAGATGAGATGCGGAACTGGATGCTGAACGTGGACCAAAGGATGGATGCGAGGATGGAAGAGCTGAGAAATCTGGTGATGAACCAGAAGCAGCACAGGTCGCGAGGACAATCACAAACACCTAGGAGGAACCACAAAGAGAGTCGGAAGTCCTCAGCTGCAGGAGGAAAGTCCAATCGATCTCAATTGCGAAGTTCGCAAGCTTCATCATCCGCTAGCAGTTCACGACGAAGTGAGACGCGATCGGGAGGAGAAGCTTCTCATTCGCAGATGTCAACCCAAGCCGCTTCAGCTTCGTCGCAAACAGTAGCATCCAGTTCTCAGGTGTCGTCTCAGTCGCTTATATCTTCTCACACGTCCCAGAGTTCGTGGCTATTGTTTCTCCTAGTTCACAGATGTGAACCACTTCTACCCGCTCGCAGATGGCATCTCAAGCGGCGTCTCACAGCGCGCTAGCTTCATCACCAGCAGAGTTCTCCAGTTCACAGACTGTGGCGCAGTCAAAAGTCACTAGTTCTCAGTCAGTCAGTCCCTTGCTTATTCTTACACAGCTTCTCAACATGCGCAAGTTTCTCCGGATTTGAAAACTGAGTTGAAGCTGGTTTCATCAACACCTTCAGAACAGAGCGAAGATGACATTCTTCCAAAGCCAACACTTTATCCCAGTTCGCCTCCAAATGCGAAGCAATCGACTGGAGATGTTTTAAGTTCGCAGGTGAAAGCCAATAAAAGCGAGATATACATGAACCAAGGACCTAGCCGAGTCAGGAGAGAGGCAGAGTTGCAGCTATTCAATGGCGAGGAAAGCTATGGTGGATCTTCGGAGCCAAGGCTTCTGTCGGATGGTGTTCCTGGTGACCCTGGCAAAAATGGAGGACAGGCAGAACATCTGGCGTCAGAAGTGCCTCAAGTTTCTACCCCTGATGTTCATTATGTTGCTGCCAGAATGATAGCGACTTTCCAGAGTTCTGCTATTTTTCTTGCTCTCGTGCCTCTGGATGGAAAGCGCAAAGATGATAGGAAAACACCTCATTTGGCAATTGATAGCAATGAATTCGTGCTCTCAAAATTCATTCCTGGAAAATAATGGGGTGAGGTCAGGAACTCTTTAACAGTACTTTCTGAGGAAGATAAATGGCACTGGGATGCAAATGTTATCAATATCAAGGTTGGGACCAACGGTGTTACAGGACTATCAATTGTGCCGAAAGGAGGCAGGGTTAACATGGTTTATAATCATGAAGTGGATGCTGAACTTGCAGCAACAGACGGGTCTCTTGTGAAATATGAAATAAAGGAGGGATATCAGCACCTAGCTGTGGAATCTCTAGGAGTGCATGAACTGAACTTTCAGAGATCAGGTTTATCCAGTGAAGGAGCATTTCAAGGAGTGGGGTATAACCATGCCAAAGCATTATCATGGTTTTGTAAGGCTATTGATCAGGGCGAGGCAAGGTCAAGGGAATTGCTTAGAGAAATATGTGTAAAAGGAGCAGGTTTGGGGGGAAATCACCCAAAGGCAGTAGGGTCGGCTTATGATAATAAGGAATACTTTTACATGAAGGGTTATGGGGTGAAGAATGACTATATCCTGGTAAAAGAGAATTTTGAGAAAGGTGCTGATAATGATGAGTCTGTGTGGTTCTACAACCTTAGGGCTATCGTATCTGAGGTGAAGAGCTTGGAAAGCATCAGTACTAGTGCAGCTACAACAGCTCTAGACTCTTCCTCTAACTTTTTGAGTGTTGCTATTGGAAACGAATCTGGCCAAGTTCCCTATTACATGCTTAGCAGCAGCTCTGGCTCTGAGAAAACAAGATTGCAATTGATCACTTAACCCAACACTGAAGTTTCCCTTTTCCCAAGTGGTGATAGGTATCAATGCACAACTATCTTTTCGCTTGTCAGTTCCCCAGTATGCATCTTGCAGTACATGGCATCAGGATCCAAATGGGTTATGGGGTTTGAAAGCCGCCAGGTTGCTCTGCTTGATATTGGTTCACCCTCAGTTTTGTTTCTAATGTACAGTCCCTCTAGCTCAAGATCTCTGGTCTTTTCTGCTAAGGCATCTATGGGTCTTCATCATAGCACTGTGAAACCAGAAGGTGGAATCTCATATGAAGTGAGGAAGAACTTGCTTGGTGCTTAGCCAGAGACGGACACATTATATTAATGACTAGCAGCATTGGCAGTTTGATCAATTCACAGCCAGCGCACCCAGAGAAGGATATTGAAAGAAAAAATCAAACAGAACCATCTGATCATGAGGAACAAAACAATTACAAAGATCCCGACAATCAGTGTGTTCTCCTGGCAAGCAAGCTCATGGTTCCGCCATCAGTTAGATACTGGGAAGGAAGAGGTGCTCGGATGAAGATGAAGTTGAACTGTTGAAGATCAAGGCTTTGTCCTATCACCCACCTTGAGGACAAGGTGGTTGTCCAAGGGGGGAGAGATGATAGGGCCCTAGAGAATAATAATAATAATAGTAGTAATAGATTGATATTAAATAATTGTGGTAGTCTAAAAAGAAGGGTTACGGGCCATGGAAGTCACGGGTTTGGGCCAGCCCTTTGGAATTGAATTGGTATAAGAGTGGGAGGAAGGAAAAGAAGGAGGTAGGCAGAAATTAGTTTGGACCTGGGAGTGCTGAGACTACTCGAAGTGTCTCAATCTGTTCCTTCTCTTTCTGTTCTCTTTGAACGTTGGTTTACTGTTTCTCCATTGCAGTTTCTAAGGAATTTACTGAGCTATTCTCTGAATTCCATACTTAACACACATAAATTCCCCTATTTCGTATCTGGATTTTGGGGTATCTAACATATTACATGTACAAACACACTTACAAAAAGGTGTTACGAAATAGACACTTGGCACGGTGGCAGCATCATAGTTTTTAACACATCATATCACGCTTACACCAAGGGTGATTATATGAGCACATCATTTGTTTGTCAATATGTTTGTACTTCTAGTATTTTCTATTGTGAATGTGTCCACTTCCCTCTCCTCACCCTCCCTCCCTTTATCTCTTCATCAGGTGAAAAAATGATGATAGTAGAAGATTTAAGAAAATAGTCACAAAGCCAAATTCACACACCCACTTCTGCAATCTTGGATCTTCTGATTAGGACAATCAATTCCCAGCATATAAAAACAGACTTTATGAAAAATGAATCTAGCTTTCTGAATCATTCATTCTAAATCTATAATTTTGAATATTAATCATCATCAGTCATCATCATTACCCCAGTGCCGCAAAGGCTCCCACTTTCAATGGGGTAAGGGGGTTGGATGTACACAATCTTACTCCTGTACTAAAATAGGGAGAGACTATTTCCGGATGACTCATAGCGAAAATCGAGTCAAAAATTGTATGAACTGACGGTTGCTTCATAACAAAGAAAGACAAGCAATTTAGTGAACCGTGTTGCTTTATTCCATCATATTCCCAAGCCAAAAATAGTGAGTCTTTAGCTCCATTGCAAATGATGGAAATAATTTTGAAAATTAATCCAGTATAATACTCCCTCTGTCCCTAAATAAACTTCCATTTCGCTTTTCGAGAGTCAACTTAAATCACACTTAAACTCTTACTTTATATATCAAAAATTTATAAATATTGAATTATTTTTTGCAGGCTTTGTAGCGGGTTTAATGTAGTTTCTGAATATGTAAATTTTATTTACTAAAAATAATCCGAGTTTTCACAGGAACCATTTAACTTTATTGCTGGTCAAACTTCGTAATTAGAAGAAGAATGAGGGTGGCAGTGGGTGCCCGGCTGTGATACATAGTTGAAGAGAAAAAGAACAAAGAAAACTAATTATGCCCAAATGTGATATCTAATTGAAGAAAAAAAGAACAAACAGAATTACCTTTCCCAGGTTTGGTAATAACAGCAGCTGCAAGGACAACCTGCATAACAAATCGAGCTATAAATCACAAGTGAAAGCTACGAAAAGACATCCCGCAATTCAGAAATGCATGATTCAGTAAATGCGTAACCCAAAGTGCAGTAGCGTTTATAAGGAAGAGAAGAGAAATAACCATCTTCAGTCGATCTTTGTAATGAGCTGTCGATATTTCCGCCAAAACAAGCTGAAGAATCACTAACAAAGAAAATGCTGATCTGAAAGATGAAAATTAGATCTATAGAGTGGTATATCAGATGTAGAATTTTTATTATGGATCTAAAAACTCATTAGCGATCGAGTTGCATATAAGGATGGTAGAATCATATATTTTCGGACTACATATATATCTTTGATAATGGTGGAAGTAGATGGAGCATACCTGGATTGGAGAGTAAGGTGAATTGTAAGAGGCGACAGGGCGAGAGGGTAATTTTCAGGGCGAGAGGGGAATTGTAGATGGGTCGCCCGGCAAGACCGGAATTGCAAAGCTTTTGCTCCGAAGGGTAATTTTCAGAATCCTGGATACAAACTACGTTCTCCTCACTATTGCTAGGCGCACCAACTTTCTCCAAGCCTGGACAACTTTGTCCTACTCGGTATTGTTGCACTTGCCACTTTTTAATTTTTAATATAAAAAAATGGGGGCTATCAAAAAAAAAAAAAAAAAAAAACTGGGGTATCTAGCTTTCATAAAAAAAATATCGTCCCGCCTTATGTAATTTTAGCTTTTTAGTGTGACTTTTTTAGCCACAAACTGCACTTCTATTTTAATTTTAAACGCAATTCTTCATTAAAACAGATTATGGCGTATTTTAGATTAATAAATTTTTATTTATCTAACATGCATATTTTTTTTTCATCAAAGGGTCTTTCATTCATAAAAAGCACTCAGAAAGGGGTTGAAATAACAAAATGACCGCATGTAACCATCCCTCTGTGGACGAGACTCTGAGTTAATCACCTTTAACAAAGCAATATAACTCGCTAATCCTAACTCGGGGAAAATCAAAACAACGACGATTACCGCAGGTCTCTCATCCCCCAATCCAAGTGCAAAAGTCTTACAACATAAAATAAATAAACAACAAAACACAATCAGTATAAAATAAAAACAAAACACAATCGACTTAGCAAAAAGAGAAATACTCGTCCAAACCCTATTCGCACAATTCCTCCATGGGCGGTGGTTCTGGAGGGGGCGGATCAACATCCCTTCACCTTCTTTCACACGTAGGCCACCAATGAAACCCTGAAATTTGATCTTCCAGTCCGACAACACGATGTCGACCACCAGAAACTTCATGCTTTCACCAATAGCCATCTGTTTGTATTGGTGAATCACGTCCTCCATCAAATTGCCCCTCTGTTTCGTCAAAGCTCGTTCCCAAACTGCCGAAGAATAACAGCTCGGCTTGGTCTTCAACATTCTGTAGCACCCCAAACGATCAGCCTGTTCTCTTCAATATGCCCTGTTCAGAAGCTAAAAACCGGAGTCGGCACCGCCCACCCGAGATTGCAACACAGAGAGAAAGAACTCGAAACAAAAAAACCACGTTGACAGCAGAATCAAAACACTGAAAAGATATTTGATATAAGCTGCCTACCAGGGAGAAATCGCCGGAACCCACGGCCTGGAAGGCCGCCGCCGGAATATGACTAGGCTAAAACCTAGAGAGAAGTATTATCGCAGAGGAATATGGTGATTTAATTTATGAAATCCTAGTTAAAGTGTGTGAATTTTCTAACGTGCATATTTTAGATTATGGCAAAACCTTGATGCATAATTATGAATATATATTTTGAATTTGTTTGATGTCTATTTTTTTGTTATTTTGGAATAATTTAAAAAGTGACATGGTTTGATATTGGTACACAGTACCTTAAATTTAGAAATATGATCGTACTGAACAACTTTAATTTCTGGATCCAACCATACTGTACCGCTAAAACAGTTACACTACCACAGTGTTCTACATTGATTATATTTTATTAGAGAATATTACCCAAAATATGACTAAAAATGTTTGAAAATTCCAAAATAGGACTGCCATATTTTTATTCCCAAAATATGACTAATTACTGTTATGTTTTAGGCAGTACCAGACTTCAAACATGGCAGTATTTTCCAAACTTGGCAGTAATTACTCCTATTTTGGGAATAAAAAACATGGCAGTCCTATTTTAGAATTTTCAACCATTTTTAGTCCAATTTCGGGAACTTTCCCTATTTTATTATTAATGTATTAGAAATTAAATTTATTTTTAATTTTTAAATATTATAAATATAAAAAATTTATTTTTAATTTTTTTTACTTATACGAAATGAAATATATTATTGATCAAAGTTCTGTGTTGACATTTATAAAAATGAAAACGTTGCAACAAAAGATCGGGGGAGATATTAAACAAGTACTTCAATGTCCTACTAAAATGATCTCATCTTTTCTTTTGATCTGTTTCACTAAAATTATCTCATACCAAATTTGATAATATTTGTGTGGATCAAAACCAATCTTACTCTATCTTCACTTTATCAATTCAATATCAATCATAAAAAAACTCACTTTTTCTTGATATATAATCACACCACCCCTTTTGTACCAATATCAAAGGTAGTAGTATAGAAAAGGCAAAAAGATACTTTAGATATCTTATCTCATACCCGATCAAATTAAAAAATTCAGACCGGATCAAACAAGACAAAAATAGATCAGATCAAATCTTGTTAGAATTAAACAATAATAAAATTCACACCCACAAGCCATGTATTAGATCAAACTTAAAAAAGCAGATAAAATATAATGTTCCCTCACAAATTAAAAAAATATGTTCCCTCATCTCATAGAATGTAGTTTTATAAATTTTTCATAATCAAGTTTGATTGATGACATTTAATAATGTGAAATTATTTCAAATATAAAAATTATGTAAAAATGTCCTCTGTTTAAAGTATTTTTATAAAATGCAAAAGTTATGAGTTTTGTACGGATATAATAATAACAATTAAAATCATTGTCCAAAATGTATTAATGTTGAATATGTAAGTAAATTTGTCTAAATTAAGCAAAAATATTAATCATTTTTCATTCATTTCATAATTAACTTTGTTGTAAAGAGGATTTTGTGAGTCGGACACATTTTTTAAATTACATGATTAAGATGTTAAGTAAAAATATTTATCATCAATCATGCTTTGCATATACGCTAGTTGTACACGACATTTACATGCCCTCAAACTAGGCATCTCAATGGGTTTAGGCGAGGCGGGTACTGCAAGACCGGACTCGTCCCGTGACTTTACTGGGTAACCTCGCCATGTCCCTCCCCACGACCCGCACAGGTCCACACTTGTTGACCCATGACCTGCTCCATGCGGGCCGCTCCGCTATGTCGTAACCTGATTAGCTAGTATGCTTTTCTATATGTGTGGAGTCGTTACCATTTGAATTTGATACGCTAAAAATGAATATATTAAATTAAAGTTACAATACGCTAAAATATTCCCAAAAAAAATTAATGTACTTAAATTTGAGTAGTTAATTTATTCACTATTCATCTCGTTCAAATATAAATATCAATATATTATAAGACCAAATAATTTATGATTTATTATAGGGAAAATAACTTTAAATAATACCAACTATTTTACATGAACAAAAAATAATACATACTTTAGAAATAACTTTTAATAATACCAACCATCTAAATGTAAACCAAAAATAAAATAAAGTCACTTTTCTACAAGAAATTGAACAATTTAAGACATCAAAAAGTAATATTAAATCATCAAATGATTTATATTTGGAAATACAATTGTGGATATTGAAAATTATTTAATATTTTGGACTTATTATTCTATGATAGTCTATAATATTATTAAACTGATCTAAATGCTACCGGACTGTTATCCACATTATTGGGCCTCTTTTGAATTTATTGGGCCTAAATCGGATTCTACTGGATTACTCGTATCAAAAGGAAAATATTAATATGGATCCGTTCAGACAAAATTGAGTGATTAAATTAATTTGGATCATTTAAAATATCCAATTAATTTAACTATAAGTTGAGTCTTTAACAAAATGGACCGGTCCTATTGATTTCTCTATTTCGAGCCCAATATGAAATAGTAGCCCAATGAATAAGAGACATGATCCAATTGATAAAGAGGGTAATGAATCCGGTTAAGAGACTGGTCCATATGCATGGGAAATGGCGAAGAACCTTGTTAAAAAACCTGTCCAGATACAATGCATAAGTGCTGATTTTTCTGGCTATTAAAATGCCAGTAAGTAGAGCTCAAAGCCCATTTTAATTGAAGTCCAAGGGATATGGATGAATTTGCTAAACCCTAAAACATATTTTCACCCCCCCCCCCCCCCCCTCCACACCTATAAGGATGTTTTTACTTGGACTGTAATTTGCCCCAGACCAGACCAGACCAGACCAGACCAGACTTGGATAGTTATAAAAATACAAAGAAACCAGACCTTACCAGACCAGACCAGTTCAGACCAGACCAGACCAGATCAGACCAGACCAGCAAATTACAGTCCAAGTAAAAACATCCTTATAGGGGTCTCAGTTGAGAGGATGAGGAGAGAATTTTCAGACAAAGAAACGCTGCAGAAAAGCTCTGAAGAACTCCCGAAAGGCTCTGAACGATTCCAAAGAAGAGGAAGAGATCAAGCCACGAATTTTCTCAAGAATATATGAATAATCCTTCGTGATTTCATCATTTCTTGATAAAATAAACCCAAAAGTTGAAGAACGTTCGAAGATCTGAAGAACAAAGATTGAAGATTCGAAGATCTGAAGAATAATGCTTTGAAGATTCGAAGACCTGGAGAATGAATCTTTGAAGATATTCATATGAAGTTTAAATCAAGATTCAACTGAAGATCAAGCCATATATCCCGGGAGGCCCTTAAACAGAAGATCAAACCATAAAACGGCCCTTTTGTTGAAGATCAAGCCACTTGAAAACCGGAGGCCCTTCAATCTCAATTCTTTGTTCAAGAAGATTTGAAGTACCGAAGAACGAAGATTCGAAGATCTCAAGAATGAAGATTCGAAGATTCAAAGAACGTTCGAATATTTGAAGAATTAGAGATTTAATTTTGAATTAAATTCTTTAATTATATTCATATCAAATTGCAAGTGAAGAATCAGAGGATTCATATTTAGAGATTGTACCCTATATTTTCACATATTATTATTTGTGATCAATTTTAAGTAAATACTTAAAATTTGTTTCACAAATTTTGGCACGCCTGGTGAGACAACTCTACCTCTCATCTCTTCACTTTTGATCTAGAAAAACGAACCAATGGCATCAAACAAGCCTGTGTTCATTTTCAATTTGAGAGCGTCATCAAGCTCGAATCAAGACATGCAAGGCCCTATCACTAGGAGCCGATCAAGAATCATAGTGGCGTGATCATCTTCTGAAACCACTCCCGGTACGATGGATGAATTTGGAATTGCGCAAGAGATGGTCCGGAAGCTTTCTTCACCC